AAGTAATGAGAATAAAAATATTGTGTGGTTCCCGTAATAGACAATTGATCAACACTAACCATATGGAAACCCAGCGTTTGTGGCAAGGCTTGCATGACATTACGGGCTACAAAGTGAAGTCAAACAGAATCGCAGGCAACAGTACATCTCTACCCAATGAGCTCTATGCTTTCTATGCTCGCTTTCAACAGAAGGTCAGTGAAACAATGTCACCTGTCCTAACAGCCTCGTATGTACCTGCACCCACGGTCACCGCCGCAGATGTTAGATTGGCCTTCGTGACAGTGAACCAACAGAAAGCAACTGTCACACATGGAGTCCCAGGGCGTGCACTAAGATCCTGTGTGGACCAGCTGGCAAGAGTATTTTCAGACATCTTTAACATCTCCTAACTTTGATCTGAAGTTCCCACCGGCTTCAAGATGACCACCATCATCCCGGTGTCAAAGAAAAATCATGCAGTGTGCCTCAATGACTACCACCCGGTGGCTCTGACCTCCATAATTATGAAGTATATCGAGAGGTTAGTCATGGCTCACATCAACTCTAGCCTACTAGATTGGGTTGATCCTTTGCAATTCACCTACCAGTGCAACAGGTCCATGCAGACGCCATCACCCTTGCCCTACACTCATCTGTGGAACATGTGGATAACAAGGTTACCTACATCAGACTCCTACTTATTGACTACAGCTTGACTTTCAACACCATAATTCCAAACAAACTCATCTCCAAACTCTGAGTCCTAGGTCTTGGTTCCCCACTCTATAACTGGATCCTTGACTTCCTGACTCATAGACCGCAATCACTAAGAATAGGTGACAACACCTCCTCCACAACAATCCTCAATACCAGTGCTTCACAAGGCTGCGCACTCAGTGCCCAACTGTACTCCTTACTCACTCATAACTGTGTGGCCAAATTTTGCCCCAACTCTATTTACAAGTTTGCTGACAACACCACAGTTGTAGATTGAACACTATTCAAGCGAGCCACAACACACTGCAACACACCAGAACTACGCAAGAAGGAGGAAGAGCACCAAACAAGGCATATACTAACAACGGATATCCCAACAACTTCACCCACAGGTGCCTACGAGATAGACAAGGCCAAGGAGACACAGAATGCCCCAAGACACTGGCCACACTACCCTATATCAAGAACATATCAGAACTGACAATGAGACTCTTACAACCACTAGGAATCATGATAGCACACAAACCCACAGCCACACTGTGACAAGGGCCAAAAACCCCATTACCATGGCATGCAGGACCAATGTAGCTTACAAAATATCTTATAATGACTGCAACAAACATTACATCGGCCAGACCAGAAGGAAACTGGCCTTCAGGATACACGACCACTGGCTAGCGGCAAAACAGCATGATGAACTTTCCCTCATCTCAATGCACTCCGATAAGGAAGGCCGTCAATTTAACTGAATGTGACCATCCTAGCCCAAGCCAACCACAGACATGCACGGGAATTCCTAGAGGCCTGGTTTTCAACCCATAATGCAATCAACAAACATGTGGAATTTGACCCCATATACAAACCCATGAAAAAAAGAACTGGAAATGGCACAACCCAACTTAACAGACCGGATCATATAAATTCCAAGCAGAGTAGAAAAACATCGCTTCATTGGAGGCCGCGCTGATGATGTTACCCAGCATGGTGACGAAACGTTTGTACGATAACCAGCCCGCTCGGCAAGCAAGCCAACAACCTCATCCACACCCTGAGCTACAAATCTTCACAAGAACCTTAAAGTTATAGATTGTATCTCAAACAACAACAAGACAGAATACAGAAAAGAGATTGAGTGGTTAGTGGCCTGGTGTAAAAACAACAATTTCTCCATCAATGTTGCCAAAACAAAGGAGCTGGTCATTGACTTCAGGAAGCGGAGTGAAGGGCATGACCCAGTCTTCATCAATAGTGCCGAGGCAGAGATGGCCGAGAGCTTCAAGTTCCTAGGAGTGATAATCACCAACAATGGTCCATTCACGTGGTCAAGAAAGCGCAACAATGCCTTGACTTCCTCACAAGGCTAAGGAAATTTGTAAATTCAACAAAGACTCTCATCAATTTTTATAGATTCACCATAGAAAGCATCCTAGCTGGGTGCATCACAGCATGGTATGGCAACTACTCTTCCGAAGACTGCAAGACACTACACAGTGTCATGAACACAGCCCAGTCCATCACACAAACCAACTTTCCATTCATTGACTCCATCTGTACTTCCCGCTGCCCCAAGAAAGCAACCAACATAATCAAAGACACCTCCCACCCTGCTTATACGCTCTTCACCCTCTTCTATCAGGCAGAAGATATAAAGGTTTGATACATGTATGAACAGATTGAAGAACAGCTTCTTCCCCGCTATTATCAGACTTTTGAATGGACCTCTCAAAGGTTAACATTGATCCCTCTCTCTGCACCTTCCCTGCAACTGTAACAGTGTATTCTGCACTCTATTCTGCTTCCTAATGCACTTCTTATGGCACAATCTGCCTGTAGAGCATGCAAAACAATACTTTTCACGATATCTCAGTACATGTGACAACAATAAATCAAATCAAAATCAATTTAAAAGCAAAATTCTATAGCATATGAAAATCTGAAAAACAGGTCATTTCAACTTTCTCCTACCCCACTGAACTTACTTCTACATATCTTGACTTTATTTCCTCTCCCCTTGCCCAGTCTCTCCCTACATTCATTAATTTTTTGATGCCCTAAAACAATTTCTTTCAACAATTTCCAGTTTCTTGGCCCTAACCACCATCTGTTCGCAAAGGATGTGCAATCTCTCTACACCTCTATACCCTATCAGGACAAGCTGAAGATTCGCTGCTTCTTCCTTGAACGGATCTTTCTCCAGTTCGAATCCACCACCACTCTCTCCCGTCTGACTTTCTGTAAGTCCCTTTAAACTCGAACACCTTTAATCGCTTGGATTTTCCACACAGAAGATGCCTTCTGTGCTGAAACCTCCCTGCTACTTCTTTGTAGCCATCACTTCTCAGTGGTGGCTTCCAAGGAATTGCACTCAACACATCCTCAATCTGTGTCAGCAGACTTTTATTCACCATCCACCTATCCTGTAGTATTTTCACTTTATACGTCATAATGGTTGGTTTGAACTCTCCCACTCACCCTCAATGACTGAACTATTGATAAAACTCCCTTAAATCTAAACCTGCAGTCCTGAGCACATCAGAAAGTTGAGAAGATCAAACTCAACTTCCATGAGGGCAATCTGCCATTCCCTACCTCCCAGCAACTATATTCCCCTTCCTGAATGAGGTGTTTGGGAAACAATTCCATGCATTCAGGAACCATCCCCCGTCCTTTCAAAAGTCCAGTCATTCTCCAGCAGCCCCAACATAAATCTGCTCTCCCACCCACAGATCAACTGCAAATAATTCCTCATTGCAAAACTGTCTTTCATCTCTGAGGTTTTGGACACTTCTTGTCACACTCCAGTCTGAATCCCCTTAGTTCAATTTTGGAAGTCAAAAATGAATTTTGTGTGACTGCTGTTTATCATCTTTTTGTTCTCCTCCACTGTTTCCCTGCATTTAATACAACAAACCAGGTTACCTGTCTCTTCCAGATGTCCTCCACTGTCCAGCTCCAGGACATTGCCCTCACCATTGATGCCTCCTCCCTGTTCACGTACAAAGCTCATCAAGGTGCTATCCTTAGGCAGCACCTCTTTTGGAGATGTATGCATCCCTCAATTGCATTTTCATCGGGCATGGAATAAGGTTGCTTTCAGATGCTGAGAAATGTAATACACACTTAGACTCTGCTCCTTTGCCATGTATTTCATGCCATGGTCACATATCCAAACAAACCTATTCCACTCTAAACTAAGCTTATCCTTTTATTAAACCCACTTACTTACACCTATGCACCAAATCTCTCTGCTCCTACTGCAGTCCGAACTAAGTCCTGTTCATTTAATGGCCCCATCCCTCATTCTCAATGACTCACTCCGTGTTTCCCATTCAAACTCCTTTTTAAATCCCCACTAACATGTATCCTCCATCCTACTTCTACATTCCATTCTAACTCCACATTCTGCTCCTGCATTGAGTCCTCGCAGAGATAGTAGGAACTGCAGATGCTGGAGAATCTGAGATAACAAGACTTGAGCTGCATGAACACAGCACAGCAGGCCAAGCAGCATCAGAGGAGCAGGAAGGCTGACGTTTCGGGCCTAGACCCCTGCTCCTCTGATGCTGCTTGGCCTGCTGTGTTCATCCAGCTCTACATCTTGTTATCCCTTGAGTCCTCGCAGTCTGGTTTTTTGGGTCATTCTCACCTCCACCACTGGGGTCAGGGTCTTCAGCCAAGTCGAACGCCACTCCTGAAACTTTCTCCCTCATGCTCCCACCCCTTGTCTCCCTTTTTGCTTCTTTTGAAAATTCTCACATTTTATGTTTTTTTTAACGAACTTTCCTATTCATTTTGAGCTTACCCCGTTTCCCGTTATGTGAAGCACCCCAGAGCTAGCTGTTTTCTCTACTAATTTAATGTTTTTGAAACAGATAGAAAACCTCCACTTGATAAATTCAAGGTTTCAAACAAGCCGAATCAAGAGTTTGCGGATATTGTGCTTTCCCACTGGTTACCGGAAGGCGGGAATGATGGGTCCATGAGATTCACCAACTATTTGTGGAACAGAGGAAAGGTTGTTGAAGGGTTTTCTAAAGACTTCCGCTTCACATCAGCAGATATGTTCATCTGCTTTGAATATAACGCCGAGTTGAGACTAGGGCTCAGTGTGCGCGGCTGGTCACTAAGATAAAGCAGGTTGAGAATAGTTTATTACGAGTGCCGCGATATTTACGTGAGGCAGCTTGAGCATGAGCCATGCGTTTTCACAACTCTTTCCGATGGTTCAAAACATCTGATTTAAAATAAACGAAAAGTTTCCAATCTTCCTTTGTGCGTGCAGTGTCTTAACATGCCGATCTAAGACAGTACACTTTTGCTGCTGGGACTTTGTTGCTAGGGTCAGTGTCTGATACCTCCGCCCCCTCCCCCCATCCCCCCTCAATCCTCCCTGTCCGATAGCGAGCCGGATGGGTTCTTGCGGAGCCTGGGAGATGGGCGAGGCTGTTGACTTTCTGTCTGGGTCTCTCTCCTTCTCTCTACCCTCCACTATCACGTCGCTCCGTTTTTGGGAGCTTGAAAAAGTCAGGAACGTCATTGGCCAAGCTCCATCCGGCGGTGAGTTGAGATGCTAGGAACAGCCGCGCCTGTTCCAGCACTCACTCAGTCTCTCCGTCCCTCAGTCAGACTTACTGGGAGCAACATTCACTCAGTCACTTACTCACTCCGTCGCTCGGTCAAACTCACTGGGAGCAGCGCTCACACATTCGTTCACTCACTCAGACAGACTGGAGGGCAGCAGCACTCACTCAGTCACTTACTCCCTCCCTCAGTCAGACTCACTCGGAGCAGGACTTAACTCAGACAGACTGTCAGACTGTGAGCTGCCTCTCAGTGGGAGCAGTACCGCCTGATCCACCAGTCTCCCACTCACACTCAGACTGACAGAGGGACAGTGCTGAGAAAGAAAGAGCATTTGCCAAGGTCCGCTGAATCTCACCGATTAAGTGTGGATGCTCCGTGAACTGTAGCCGCTATTCCTGTGAGTGTGTCTTGTATTATTGTTGCTCCCTGTCTCCCTCCGTCCCTGCACTTGTTGAGAATGCAGCTGCTGCGTGTTTGCCTGACTCTGTTCTGGATTTCTGTATTTTTTGGCTTTGGATTATCACAGATGACCGCCGAAAAATTTCTGCTAACTGAAAATGAGACTTGGGGGAAGTTTCATTCAGGTCCCAATTCTCTGGATTTATTCCACTTGCCCACGGTCCAGCCCGGCCTGGGGTTGTCTCAACGGGGAACCGGTCTTCCCGATGTAACGGCGACGACGGATAACTCCAACACAACCAATGGCAATACTACCTCAACCAGTGACAGTGATATCCCTTCCTCCTGCTACTATCCCACCCGCAGCAACCCCACCTTCCGATACATTACTGCCGGCCTCTCTTGTGCCATTTTCGTCGTCGGGGTGATCGGCAACGCGACTTTGCTGAGGATTATCTATAAAAATAAATGTATGAGGAATGGTCCCAATTTGTTGATTGGAAGCCTGGCCCTGGGAGACTTGTTCTACATCACGATCGACATCCCTTTCCATGTCTATAAGGTACGTCTGCTCTTCTCCCGTGGCGTCTCCACTCGTGTACAACCCCTTTAGTCTCACTCCTGAACTGTCCTCTCATTCTTGTCTCAAGGGAACTACATTCCCTGCTTTCTTCATTTTGGTTCTTTTCGACTTTTATGATGCAGTTTTTAACTTTTCTATTTTAGTTCCTAACGTTGCAAAAGAACCAAAGGGTTTTAAGCCTGATAGTACTGAGTATTTCAATTTATTTGTAACAATTTTACAAACTTTCTCATTTTTTGATGTTAACCTGGCCTTCTTCCTTCATTCAATATTTCTATCTTTCTAAATTAGTTCCTCCTATGCCTTGCAGCTTCCTATGTCTCCACATATGGTTTTAAACTACTTTCACTTTGATATTTGACATAACACATTTGTGGTTTCTTCTATCCGTTTTAAAAAAAACTTTTATCATTTATCTCTTTAAATATTCTAACCAGAACCAAGAATAAATTATCTTTTTTTTTACATTCTCTGCCTCATTTGTTAACTTTTTTTTCCAATCTGTTTGAGTGCATTCATTGACATTTGTGTCCTTTGTCAATTGTCTCTTCCAGCTTCTGGCTTCAGAATGGCCTTTTGGTATTGTTGTTTGCAAGCTGGTACCTTTCTTGCAAAAAATTTCAGTGGGGATCACAGGCCTGAGTCTATGCGCACTCAGTGTGGACAGGTAGGCCTCACAATTATATTTCCAAAGCTTTTTTTTAATTTGTCACAACAGCATATTCTGTGACAATTTCTGATTCTGCGAGCTAGTCAAGGCTTTGTCTTTTAATATGTTCATCAACAGTGAGGCCAGGAATATGTTATCTTGACATTTTACAATATGTTCCTGGCGCTAAACATCAAAAACAGAAAAAGAATCTCTTAAAGAAACAAAATCTGGTTACATGGGAATCTGAAGTTCATTCCTCTCAGAATTTATTTTTTTCTTTGAATACCAGTGGTTAATAAAAACATAAATTATTTATTTGAGTTTTACTAAAATAAGTTCAGCAATGGTATTTTTTAATGTACATTTATGTCACCATGTTTTATAAAATAAGTTTTATTTATAAATATGCCTGTGCTTTCAAGTTATATCGTTTTACATTGTTGTAAGCTGATGAGCGTGTTATGGTAAGCTGTTCTTTTAGATTGTTGATATTAAACTTTTTAAAAGATATTTGCTATTGTTTAAAACTTACTGAAACTCTGCAATTTGATGACTCTCTCCCACTCTTAATGTTACTGTAGAGGAAGTTAAATCACATTCTTGAGTCCCTAAAATACAACATATTAAAAAGATAGTAATTGCTAAGTGCTGCAACTCTATATTTTGCTTTTATTTGCATTTAGTTTGTATTATGTTTTTACGGTCACTACATTGTCTCACTCCGGAGAACTCAATTTTTATCTAATCCAGACAAATTTTGACAGTCATTCTTGGAATCAAAATGTATTCGAAATCTCAACCCAGTTCTAATTTGACTGAGGTCCACCAAATTGCCTACAACTTGACAATAATTGCAGTAAACTGACAATTTCATTTAGGGCAGGTTCTAAAGTTTGAGGTCTATGGATAAGACTAACTTCACATGAATCAGATATTAGCCTGAATCGTTCCACCTGAGATCTGGAGAACAAGGAAATTTAAGAAAATTTCCAGCTCTGCAAACCCATCTTGAGGGAACGTACCTTGGATGTTTTAATTTTTCTTCTGGGGATGTGTGTTAATAGGAGTTCAGTCCACTGCCAGGAAACACTGCACAGGCTACCATAAGGCTGCTGTGTGTGGAAGTGGGATATATGAAATGCTGGCTTCTCTTCTGTAGGACCTGCTTGCAACTGTAAAACATCTATACCAAGAAACAACCCTCACAGCTCTTTACACTCCCCGTACACTCCCCGTGCCCCATGCCTGCAACCTCAAGGTCTCACCAAACGTCCTAGTGCCTCTTATATTGTCTATTCAACCTATGTCGCTCTACCCATCCCCATGGCCTCTCATACATTTTGTGCCAACCTCATGCCACTCTGCCCACTCTCATGGCCCCTCATATCCCACATGCCCTTTTACCACTCATGTTTCTTTGTGGTGCCAGTTCCAATTTAGTGCCAACTCATGGAACCTATGCTCACCACCCCACAAGCCTTTACCCTAAATGCCATATGCTGACTGCTCACTCATTATAGCGGATCTCAGTCCCCATCCTGAGGGTAAATGAAATGAAGTTGTGAATGTTTAATATAGAGTCCACTGCATATAAATAAACACTTGCATTGATAAAAATCCATTCACCATAGTTACATTCCTTCAAGAGCTTAATCCATTATAAAAGCAAACATTTCATTCAAATGTTTAATCTCTTATAACATAAAGCGAAGCTACAAATGCAAATGCTTAAACTTTATAACCACTTAGATTTGTCAATCGAACCGCGAGCTGCTCACTGCAGTGTAACAATGATAGGTTGTGAAATCGGTCATGCAGCTCACTTGGTATGATAATAGTCTTCAAGTTAACGTCAACAGATAGTGAGTTTCAAAATATAGGCTAAATGATTTAAATGCCTTGGCAACATAGCAGTTCTAACAAGCTTGACAGTTTCAGTGATGTTATCCATTTGTTTTACATATTTACGTATACTTTTAACCATCTCAAAGGGCACTTGACATCTCTCAAAAGGCATCCTACCTCTCCCAAAGATGTTCTTGGGCCCATCCAACAAAACCAACTTTAGGTTTCTCCCCGAGAAGAATAAATCTGACAAGTGGTGTTTTAGACCTCCACTAGCAAAAGAATGGATCTCTGTGAAGGCAGCTGCACCTTTACGTTTGCAAGGGCCTCTGTGAACTACAGATGTGCAAAGTACAACCTGCATGTTCCCTCCCCCCGACCATGTCCCAGCCAAAACAATGGGTGTTGTGTTTGGGAAGCATTTCCAGAGTTAGAGCTCTGATATCATTTTGGCTAAACCAAACAATTTCTCATTGTTACAAGAATTTGGGCAAAAATTTGATGTTGCCATTCACCCTTGGGCAACAACTGAAAGTAAGATTAAAGCTCAAGTGCTGAAACCCCTTGTTCCGATGATTTAAAAAGCCCTCCTAGTGCAAACCACTATGAAAATCTAAACTGTAATGGATTGTTGTTAGATTTACCATGTTCCTACCACTTACACCTCTCTGAAAGCAATGGAGATTTGGGAGTAGTATATGAGACTTTAATAAATAAACACTACACCTGCCAAATATAAGATTAGGGGATTTAAATTTGCTGCTTACTAATAGTTAAAAAGTTCAACATCTTTAAGAACTGAAAAATTATGCTTGGCAAGCAATGCCGGCTATTTGAAAGGATGGGATAAATTTATTTCTTCCCAAATTATGTCAGAGGTGAGATAGTCATACTTTGACAGTTTCCCTTATCAAAGCATGGTTCAAGAATTGAATCATTCTGTGATTGTTGCAGCTTTAAACCTAAATAGATTTTTGATTTTACTTCCTTCATTTAAATTGATAGATTGCTGGGTAATGAGGAGATTTAGTTAGAAACATTCTGTCATTATTAATTCTTTCAACTTCACCACCAGTCATAACCACTGTAATGATGGAGAGCTGCATGACTTCTAGCTGCATTATGGCATGATGTCCACCACCAGTTAGGTACTGCTGCCTCTGGTTTGAAGTCACCCTGTCCTGCAAGATAAAGGGAAGTGAGTCAGTGAATGAGTGACTATGGTGCAATCGGTTTAGGTAACATAGCTGTCATGATTGAATAGCTGGAAGTCTGCTCACGCTGGGAGATGTCAGTGTGAGGCTTACAACAGTGTTCAATGTGAGGGTGAGGTGACTTATGAATGTGAGTATGCGTTTCAATCTATAGAGATTGTTTGTAAATGAATTATGGATATATAGTTAATTGGTTTGTGGTAAATTTGATAGGGTTTGGCATTTACTGACCTTGATCACTTGTGTGAGATCATTGAATGTCTTGCAGCAATACATCAAGGTCCTCAGTGCTACGCTGCTAGCAGTGACTTGTACAGCTATCTGCTTCCACTGCTTTCTGAGAGTCTGTCTGGAGGATCGCCCAGCCTCCTGTGGATAGGGGACCTTTCTCTCATGTACTTCATTGCTCTATTGGATGATTTGTAGCCCCCTCTTGCTCATCATGTGTTGTTCCCATATCTTAACCAAAATTCAAGTTACTTTTTTAATGAATGGCAGAATTTCCTCAGACTGAAATGCATCTCCTCTTGAAGAAGTTCTGCCTTCCTTTAAGTATTCAAGCTTGAATTTGTGGCAGCTTCTCAAGGTTTAGAAGCTCTTCTTCAGATGTGCGATTACTCAACAGTGTGCACAGAATTGGTTGGCTGCTGAGTCATAAAAATGGGAAAGCAACATGCAGTTTATATGTCGTCTGTATCATAACAAATAGATTTGGTTTAGTCATGCATTGCAATCCCTTCACCCATTTTTAGGCCTACTTCAATTCTTCTACCTATGACTTTACTCAACTCAGATTGAATAGTGTGGATTCAGTTCATTTGAAAAGCATAGGCCACGTAGAAACATAGAAACTATGACAGGATTGGGCTGTTTGGCCCTTCAAGTCTGCTCAACCATTCAATAGGAACATGACTGTTCCTCTGTTATAATGCATACCTAAGAATCACCTCTGCAGTTTAAAAAGCAAACTCCCTTTTCCTATTGTTTACATTTTTAAAATAAATACTTCCCCACTTTAATCATTTGTTCTATTCCTACTTTGGCTCAGTCCAAATTATAGTTGATGGGATATTTATTACTGGATATTTCATGCAAGGCTGCATCTATAATACATGCTTAGCATTGTTTTCTGTTCAAATTATTTTCAAACAAAAATAATCTATAATTTAAAAAAGGACACTGCCAAGGTTAGATACTTTATTAATTTCAGTGCTGACTCAATGGAGACATAAACTATTGGAATTGAGTGGTCAACCACTGGTATGCACCAAATACGTGCTGTTCAGTCAATGTTAATATGACAGAGTTAGGCAGAAAGGAAGCTGCAGGATATATACAGCATGTTTATTAACCCTGTTATTGGATTTTAAGGGCAGTAATACAGTCTCTGTTCTTCAACAAAACCTTTGTTGTTTGGTATGCAGGATATTGCCTGTGAAACACTATAGTTTTTTTTAAAGAGGTACAGGCCAGTCCCAAGGAAATAAAAAGAACTATTTCAAAGTGGCCAATAGGAACTCCTTGGGTCCTGTTGAACATACTAACTGAAATACTTGAGAAAGTTATGGATTGCAAACAGCCTTTTTTATAAACAGGCCTTTGAGAGTCCTCAAGAGAACCATTTTGTAAAACAGAAAAAATATTTCTCTAATCTGCTTTCTTTCTGTCTGTTTAAAAGTAAACCTCTGGTTTGACTCAAAAAATGCAGAAACTTGTGAAACAATATATTTAACCTCAGCGCACATCAGATTTTATTTTAAATTGCGTTTTTCTAGGGACTGGCTTTCGATGAAAATTTATAAGGCATGTGATGATTGCCAATTATTTGAATTCCAAACTCAGAAAGAAAGAAAGAAAATTGATGCAGTGGCGAATGTATAAAACAACTCTCAAAGCGAGGGGGAGTTTGCTGCTTTGACCTGGTCACAAACCCATCCCTTATCCATGAGATGGGCT